AGGAGCTCTCCAGTTCTGCAACAGCTTCATGCTAAGTTCTTTATAACTGTGTGTTTTCATTTGATCTTTTATTAATAAATAAATAATAAATAAGACAATTTTTTGTCTTTTTTATAAGACAAAAACAAAAAGAAATGCTCACTGTTGAGGATGATTTCATCCACGCAGTCAACACCAAGATCCATATTGAAGAGCATGGCTGGATCCAGGTGAGTAACTGCAAATAGATAATTAAACATTGATCACATTTTCTAAATGGGTAAAATCGTGAACGCAAGTCACCAAACTTAAATGATTCTTACCTAAGTAGTCATCGTCCAAAAAGTTTGAGAGATCATCTAGAACAGAGAAAATATTGATATTCAGTGTTCATATCCATGAAAGTCATTGTAATTCCTTTAAACTGACTGTTAAACAACAACAGAGTTGTTATTTAACAGTTTGAGGTATTATTGCATTGACTTGAATTGTAACAACTTTTCCGACTAGTCTTTCTAAATGAAATTTTGAATTTTTACAAGCTCATCTTATCCTTGTTTCCCTACAAATAGATGAAAATTAAGTGCACTCTGAAAACAGTTTGGTCAATACAACCTAAGAATTGGTTGAATTTGACCAATCTGGTAGGTATTTATGTGTCCAACCAATCCTTTGGTTAAAACAACCACCTTATTTGGTTGTGTGACCCTTCATGTGACCCTGTCACATGAAGATATATGGGTTTCCTGTTTTATGTGGAAGGCTTGTACAGTCTATTCAACAAATAAAAGTATAATTTAAAAGTTTAGATTTTAATCACTCTGTCCAGCTAGTAAACCTCATAAGATAGCTTTTTAAAAATGCATCTTTAATACACATATGTTAGGTTAATTAAGGTTACATCTTACAGTACTTTTTAAGAAATGACTGTAGAAGAAGAAATTAGGGCTTCTTTAGAAAACCTTTTAAATATAATGTAGCAATACAAACCAGGAAGGATATCAGGCAGGCCCAAGGAGTCCTGGTCAAATTCCTGCATCTTGGCATCTGAAAACCAAAACACACACACAGTAAGAATGAATAACAGAAAACTAATAAGTAACTGCAGCAAGTAGACCTTGTTAAAGCTGCATAAACAGTGTATCTAACTGAATGTGAGGTCAGATCTATTTCTCTGACGTATTCATTCCTTTTATTTTTTCCCTGCGCTTTAGATGGTTCTGTGACCAATATACTTTCTGCAGCTGAAAGAAAACACCACAGGAAACCATTTCTACCCACCGCCACCACCCAATAGACTAGTTCCTTGTTTTGTTTATTGAGCACTGACATTCTGCTCATTTAGAAATTTATTCAACCAAAAAGTGCGCTGTATTTAGAAATATACTCTACACCTCTTCGCGACAAAAGGAGGAAACAATTTGGTCATTTTCCACATGAGCAAATGCATAGATGTTGTCATATATGGAGTCATAATAGTCCATAGTAGTTTTAACTCCACTTAATACCCACAATATGGATAAATCTACATGTTGCAGTAATATTTTGAACAAGGTTGACATGACTTTGACCCAACTTAAACATTTTGAATAAGTTATCAAAATTATCAAGATATAAAGTAGTTTGAAAAAGTATTTTCCCTCTTGTCACATTAAAATCTTTCAGATCATCAATTTCATATATATAAGAATAGTATTTAGTTTGTTTATTTTTGTATTTTTTTTCTTTTTTAACTCTTTACTACTCTGATATTTTCATACACTTTTCTAAGGTCCACATTTGTGTGACCACTTTTCCTTTAATCTTTTGTTGCTGTAACACCACAATTTCCCCATTGTCGGACAATAAAGGGATTTTCTATTCTATTCTATAATATAAGAGGTTTTCAATAAAATTATGCCTTGATGGCTTTAAAAGGCTATTAGAACCAACATTCCCTATGTGAAAAACATGTTCTTTTTTCCTGGTTTTACATAAAGGCAGGCGTGTACCATTAATAGGTAATACACTAAGTTTGATTATCTGAAACATTAGACCTCACAAAGTTATTTTTGACAGAAGGAAAATACTTTATTAAAGCACTAAATATAAATCCCTTGGACAATGATGTAGTGATGGAGTGTTCAGTGAAGGACCAACAAAAATGAAAGCACTAAAAGCACTGGACACCAAAAGTAAAGCAATTTTGAAAGTCAACTTAGGATCGGAGACTCAGAAAAGATGAAACGGGGATTTCCATTTTAAATCACAGCCATATTTACTGAAAGCAAATCTGAAAGTTGTACTACATTTTTGTTCAGGACCTACATATTTTCAGTATTATTTCCAGACTAACCCTTTTGGACGAGACAGTTGAAAAGAGGCTACACCCAGTTTGGTCATATATGGAAGGCAAATTTAACATTTTATTGGAAAAATGTAAAACCAAGCAGGCATTAGCTGATTACTTTCTATCATTGGATCTGGGGCATAACATTACCAAACTTATCCCGATTAACAGAAATCTAATTTTGTAATTGTCACAAATGTGTCTTAGGCGTGTCCGGTGAATATTTATGGCATAAAAAATCCTACCAGCAGGGTTTATTTCATTCCTTTTTACCACTGGCTCACCCTGTGCTTTGCCTTTGGAGGTTTTGGTTCTGCCCAGACAAAGCCAAAACACGCCCTCATTCTGTGTAATCAAGATCAAACAGGACAGAACGATCTTTAAAACTTGGATAAAAGACCATAAAACATAACAGTAAAGGTAAGCCACAAAACGCCTGTCATAACTGATAAGAAACTCCACAACTGATAAGAAAATAAAAATCTCAAACTGACCAGAGATGCATTTACATTTGGTTGAAGACAATGAGACAAAACAGTGAAACATGATACTTAATGGCTGATTTCCTGATTCGAGGAGAGTCTTTATAGGAAAGAGCAGCTCAGAAAATAAAGACAACAATCCAATATAACTGACTCTAGTCATAAAGTTACAACTATGGTTTAAAAAGGTCCCGCCTTATATTCAAATGTTAGTAATTTATTTCAGAATACAGCTAAACCCAAAATACCAACAGATGATTGTATGATCTCTGGCATCTATTAAACATTTTGCACATGCCCTCTCCTTCCACATTGCCAGACGTTTTTTTTTTTTCCCCACAGTTTTGCCACATGGACAACAGCCTCAATGGTCTTTAGTATGCATGGAACGGAAAGCCATTTTTCCAAACATTGAAACGTAAAGGAAATGCTGGGAATTAGCTGGCTTTTGACGAAGCCTCATTTTCTAAATATTTTGTGGAAAGCGTTGTAAAGGTGCCAGTAATCTATTGATTACTGGTTGAACAGGAAGAGGGACGTAGAGGAAAGCCAGACAGTAAACAGACAGGGGGAAAAAGAGTCTTTATGTACATCTTGAGTTGATGACAGCTAACTCTTTAGAAAAAACTGTACATAAATGTGTTGACCAGGATTTATTTTTTAAACTCTTAACTCTCTACGCTTCATGATGTGTTTATAAATATATTTTTGGACCCCCCCTGAACCAACTATTGCATGGAATAGGTAATGTTTCATATTCATTTTGGGACCACATTAGTTAAAGTAAATATCTCTTTTCTATCCATTAAAGTAAGCAAATGCACCAACATATAATATCTGCAGGTCATCAATTGCTTTGGTTTGAAGGGCAAAATTAGGGGAGAAATGGAAATAGATAAAAATGTGAATAAATGAAATAATTTCACAATTTATCCATGAGTTTATTAAAAAACATGATGTAAGTTAATAAAAAATATTTAACATGTTTGTTGCATGGTGGCGCATTTTGTAGCACTGTTGCTTTGCAGCAAGAAGGTCATAGGTTCGGTTCCTGACCTAGCTTCTGTCTGCAGGGAGTTTGCATGTTCTCCTTTTGAATGCATGGGTTCTCTCTGGCTTCTCCACAGAAGTCAAAACACTGTGCTGCTAGGTTAAGTGGCATCTCCCCTTAGGTGTGGGTGGGTGGGTGTATGGTTGTATGTCTGTGTCCTCCGATACACTGTCACCATGTCCAGGGTGTACCCCACCTGATCCCCATAAACTGCTGGACATAGACACCAACCCCAGCGTGACCTTGATGGATAAGAGGAAGAAGATGGATGGATGGATGGTTTAAGTTCCTAGCTATGACATAAAATGGTATCGGTATCAGCGAGTACCAACAAATAGGGCACCGATACCATTTTGAGAGCCTTTAGTTTGTTCAACTATTGTCACCCATTCCAGGTAGGAAATAAAAAGTTCTACCGGATTCACTTTATATTAGTCTTTTTCCTGCTTCACTAAGGTAGGCAACAGCTCCACAAAGCCATGATGGCAATTATTTACATCCAAGTAGTATCCAGTTCTTCATATATACACACACACATACATTTCAAACAGATGGTATCGGAATAGTATCGGCCGATACTATACAGCCAGGTATCGGTTATCGTATCAGGGCCAAAAAATGGCATCAGTGCAACAATAGTGGCAAGCTATGCTGCAGCAACAGCTTCCCTGTGGACTGACAGAGGTGGTGCTGCCATATATATAAGTGCCAAAAGGCCTTCTGACCACCATCACCAATAACATCGGGCTTTCCCTTTTCGCATCAAATCACATCTCATCTAAACAATTTGGGTCCACTTGTTTTCCCCTGTCCAACAAAGTCTCCCAAACCAAGATAGAGATGCATCTGAAAAGTTGTTTTTTTCAACCTGACCATCCAGCTGAGTAGGGCTTTTAATAAAAATGATTATCATACCTTTTTTAAACAACTCCCACAACCTTCGCTCTTCTTGTCTATTCTATGCAACTGTCTCAGTTAAATAATCAAAATATAATTTTACCATCCACTGAGACTCACATTCAATTTACACAGAAAAAAAAAAAAAAAATAAAATCCACAACTAATGGCGACAAATCTGGATTAAAAGATTGTTAAGAAGAGAAATTTATTTTCAACAGGAAGAGAGCAAAATGTCTTCTAATAAATGACAGCTTTGTTGCCAGAGCCATCCTAATTTATGCATTTTAGAGTTAAAAAGGAAGGCGCAGCACAGACAACAGAAAAAGACCATGACCTCAAACCATACATAGCATACTGCAGAAAGAAAACGGCTTAATATGGGAAAGTCCCATCTGTGCGCCAAAAACAGCCACTCCAAGTGCGCATTTTTGCTATACCAAAGCTTCACTCTGACTCGCCTGTGATAGAAACAAATTAATAACAAAGGTAACTAACTGATCTTCAGCAACTTTTATGAAGCATTTTTTTCATTCAGGTTCGGGTTTTATTGCGCTGCTGATTCGTGCGTAATGGAGTTCATTCGTCTTTGAATTGTTTTGGATTTCTGGTTAAACAGAACAAAGCAAACTATGATGGTCAGAATGCGCATTTCACAGAAAAGGTTCATCCAACTTACAGCTTGCATATGTTTATTTCAACACATTTGGTTATTTTGATTAACAATAAGTCAAGAAAAAAAAATCTGAAAAAAAAAATAAATAAATAAAAGTTATGCTGGAAAATAAACCCATTAGCCCTCCCTCCCATCAAAGCGCACACAGACACCCACCTCACCCTGTAATTAACGATAGAATTTACCTGTTGGGTGTTTTTTTTTGAGCGATGCTCAGGTCCTCTGCAACTCTTTGGTTTTTATTCTTTTCAAATTTAAGCCACTGCACCTACAAGTCTCCAGCTAGGCTGTCCTCAGATGACTCCCTGCAAGGCGTGTATGGCGCAGCTGCTCATGGTGCCTCTGTGGGTTTTGCTTTCACTTTACCTATAAGACGCCAAGCCAGGGGGCTTGGTTTGCTCCTCTGCGGACCAAACACCATGCCTTCTGCAGGCACATGCAAAACTCTTTCGGTTTTACTGTCCCATGAGCAAGGCTCTCTAGAAACATAACCTCTCTCTAAATGACTGGCTTGTTAAAAAGGGTAAAAACTTCAACATTATTATGCAGGTCAATAAATTTATTGCACTATTTAAACCTGGTTCCACATGTAAACAAATCAACTGTCTAGTTATCAAAGGGACCACACCTCCCTCTGTTGATTAACTGAAGGCAGTGCTGT